CCGAATGTATAAAAAAAAAATACAAACAGATATGACGTTTCACGATATATATAGTAGTGGGGGATTATGGGACAAAAAATAAATCCGCTTGGTTTCAGACTTGGTGGAACCCAAGGTCATCATTCTCTTTGGTTTGCGCAACCAAAAAATTATTCAGAGGATCTACAAGAAGATCAAAAAATACGAGATTGTATCAAAAATTATGTACAAAAGAATATGAAAATATCCTCTAATGTCGAGGGAATTGCACGTATAGAGATTCAAAAAAGAATCGATTTGATTCAGGTCATAATCTATATGGGATTCCCCAAGTTATTAATAGAAGACAGGACTAGAAGAATCGAAGAATTACAGATGAATGTACAAAAAGAACTCAATTGTGTAAACCGAAAACTCAACATTGCTATTAGAAGAATTTCAAACCCCTATGGGCACCCCAATATTCTTGCAGAATTTATAGCCGGACAATTAAAGAATAGAGTTTCATTTCGCAAAGCAATGAAAAAAGCTATTGAATTAACTGAACAGGCAGGTACAAAAGGAATTCAAGTACAAATTGCAGGGCGTATCGACGGAAAAGAAATTGCACGTGTTGAATGGATCAGAGAAGGTAGGGTTCCTCTACAAACCATTCGAGCTAAAATTGATTATTGTGCCTACGCAGTTCGAACTATCTATGGGGTATTAGGCATCAAAATTTGGATATTTGTAGACGAGGAATAATAAGAACTTACTTTACTTGTATTTAGTTCTATCTGGTGATAAAACAAAAAAGGCAAACTCTTTCATTCCTTTTCTGTTAAATAAAAAAAAAATGAACAATTCTATAAGGTTGAATAAAAATTCGATTAATCGTTTGATATAATTGCTATGCTTAGTGTGTGACTCGTTGGTTTTTTTAGGATTATAGGATTCAACAAAATCGACGGGCCCGTAGTACGAACTGATAACTATAGAACTAATAATCAACTCATCGCTTCGCATTATCTGGATATAAGGAACCAGTCAAGATATGATATATGAGTCATATCATTGTAGCAACTGAAATCTTTTTTGCATAAACACAAAAGAAAAACCAATCTGATTATGAGTTGTAAAGCAATAAAAGTATACAGATAAATGGAAGGGTGAGAGAAAGATAGGAAAAGAAATATCAATGATATATAATTCCAATATGTAAGGTCTATGAGTCATCTCATATAAAGGGAATGTAATAAAGCATCAATACTGATTGATCCATAATTAGACAAATCGGTGCATAGAAGAAAAAATCAAGAGCCCTGAGCCAATAAAGACTGAGAAGGTTGACTCAAGAAAAAATTTCATTCATTAATAAATTTCATTAAGGGCTCCGTTGTAGAATTCAGACCTAACCATTAATCGAGAAGTGGTGGGGACGACAGAACCTGTGAATGCATAAGATTCTATTGAAAACGAATCCTAATGATTCATTGGGTAGGATGGCGGAACGAACCAGAAACCTATTCATTTATTCTGAGAGGTCATGTCATAGACTAATCTTACAATTGAATGTTGAAAGAGTAAATATTCGCCCGCGAATTTTTTTTTATTTCTAAATTTTAGTCGATTCGATATGATAATACAAAGGAAAAAGAAAATAAAGATTCATTATAACGATAACGTTATATAAAAACGACATTATCTATAAATAGAAGACATGTTTAATTATATATTAAAACACAAAAAATTTTAAATTTATAATAGATATAGATATAGATTAGATAAAATTTAAAAGAATACCACGATTCCGTATATTATTCACCGTGTATATTATTTTTTAATTGTTTAATTCGCGAGGAGCTGGATGAGAAGAAACTCTCATGTCCAGTTCTGTAGTAGAGATGGATGGAATTGATAAACAACCATCAACTATAACCCCAAAAGAACCAGATTCCGTAAACAACATAGAGGAAGAATGAAAGGAATATCTTATCGAGGCAATCGTATTTGCTTCGGTAGATATGCTCTTCAAGCGCTTGAACCCGCTTGGATCACATCTAGACAAATAGAAGCAGGGCGGCGAGCAATGACACGAAACGCACGCCGCGGTGGAAAAATATGGGTACGCATATTTCCAGACAAACCCGTTACAGTAAGACCTACAGAAACACGTATGGGTTCGGGGAAAGGATCTCCCGAATATTGGGTAGCTGTTGTTAAACCCGGTAGAATACTTTATGAAATGAGCGGAGTAGCAGAAAATATAGCCAGAAGGGCAATTTCAATAGCGGCATCCAAAATGCCTATACGAACTCAATTCATTCTTTCGGGATAGGGATGTAGAAACAAAAGAAAGGGGTCTTTTGTATGAAAAAAAAATTGCAGGTTTTTTGTTTTGAACAAATAATATTTCTTTTTTTTTATTTAGACCCTTGCATTGAAAACAAAAAAAATCGATAAAAAAACGATATGATTCAACCTCAAACCCATTTAAATGTAGCGGATAACAGCGGAGCCCGAGAATTGATGTGTATTCGAATCATAGGAGCTAGTAATCGACGATATGCTCATATTGGTGACGTTATTGTTGCTGTAATCAAGGAAGCCGTACCAAATACACCTCTAGAAAGATCAGAAGTAATCCGAGCTGTAATTGTACGTACTTGTAAAGAACTCAAACGCGACAACGGTATGATAATACGATATGATGACAATGCTGCAGTTGTTATTGATCAAGAAGGAAATCCTAAAGGAACCCGAATTTTTGGCGCGATCGCCCGGGAATTAAGACAGTTAAATTTCACTAAAATAGTTTCATTAGCACCCGAAGTATTATAAGGGAAGGCCGTAATATAGTTATAGTATTTGGTATTTGAATGAAACCGATTAATTAGTAGATTGTTTATATATCACGTATATACCTTTAATAATTCAGAAATAAAGATAAATAAAAAAAGAAAAAGAGCATGTTGATTATATCAAAATTTGGGGGCAACAAAAATCTTAGTTTATCATGAGTAAAGACACTATTGATGACATAATAACCGCTATACGAAATGCTGACATGAATAAAAAAAGAACAGTTCGAATACTATCTACTAACATCACTGAAAATATTGTTAAAATCCTTTTACAAGAAGGTTTTATTGAAAACGTGAGAAAACATCAGGAAAGCAATAAATATTTTTTGGTTTTAACACTACGACATAGAAGAAATAGAAAAGGATCGTATAGAACTGTTTTAAATTTAAAACGGATCAGTCGACCCGGTTTACGAATATATTCTAACTATCAAAAAATTCCTAGAATTTTAGGCGGAATGGGGATTGTAATTCTTTCTACTTCTCGAGGTATAATGACAGACCGAAGGGCTCGAATAGAAGGAATCGGCGGAGAAATTTTGTGTTATATATGGTACTCTTTCTGATAGACGAATTATACGAAGAACTTTCACATTTGTGAAAAAAGAGAAAGGACAACTTTATAATATTACCCCTCTTACATTAGTTGATACTTCAAAGCGGTTTTACCTGGAATGAAACAAAAAAAGATTCATGAGGGTTTAATTACTGAACAACTTACCAATGGTATGTATCTTCCGGGTTCGTTTAGATTTGAGATAATGAAAATATGATTCTGGTTTTTGTTTCGGAAAGGATTCGACGTTGTTTTATACGTATACTACCAAGAAATAGAATAAAAATTGAGGTAAGTCCTTATTTCAACCAAAGGACGTATAGTTTATAGACTCCAAAGCAAAGACTCGAATGATTCGGTGGTTTTTTCAATTTCAACATTCTTTCGTGGGGATACAATTCGAAGTTAAAAATTTCAAGAAACTTATTTTCTTCCAATAAATAGTAAGAAAGGGAATGACAAATATGAAAATAAGGGCCTCTGTTCGTAAAATTTGTGAAAAATGTCGATTGATCCGTAGGCGGGGACGAATTATAGTAATTTGTTCCAACCCGAGACATAAACAAAGACAAGGCTAATCTTTCTAAAGCAAAAAAGACTCTCGAAATCAAAAGTAACCGATGTACAGATGTACAAATAAATAAGTAAAAAAAATAAGGATACGTTTTGACATGAAATGGATATATCCATATATCTCTGACTTATATTTATGAGATGATAAAATATGGCAAACCCCTAACCAAAAATTGGTTCACGTAGAAATAGACGTATTGGTTCACGTAAGAATGCGCGTAGAGTACCAAAGGGAGTTATTCATGTTCAAGCAAGTTTCAATAATACGATTGTGACTGTTACAGATGTACGGGGTCGAGTAATTTCTTGGTCCTCCGCCGGGGCTTGTGGATTCAAGGGTACAAGAAGAGGTACACCATTTGCCGCTCAAACCGCAGCAGGAAATGCTATTAGGACAGTAGTGGATCAAGGTATGCAACGAGCAGAAGTCATGATAAAAGGCCCGGGTCTCGGAAGAGATGCGGCATTAAGAGCTATTCGTAGAAGTGGTATACTATTAAGTTTCATACGCGATGTAACCCCTATGCCACACAATGGCTGTAGGCCCCCTAAAAAAAGGCGTGTGTAAAAATAAACATTGAAGAGATTTCAAGAGAAATAAATAATTCAATGATTTGATCAAATAATATACTATGGTTCGAGAGAAAGTAACAGTATCTACTCGGACACTACAGTGGAAGTGTGTTGAATCAAGAGCAGACAGTAAGCGTCTTTATTATGGACGCTTTATTCTGGCCCCACTTATGAAAGGTCAAGCAGATACAATAGGAATTGCGATGCGAAGAGCTTTGCTCGGAGAAATAGAAGGAACATGTATCACACGCGCAAAATCTGAGAAAATACCACATGAATATTCTACCATAATAGGTATTCAAGAATCCGTACATGAAATTTTAATGAATTTGAAAGAAATTGTATTGAGAAGTAATCTATATGGAACTCGTAACGCGTCTATTTGTATCAAGGGTCCTGGATATGTAACTGCTCAAGACATTATCTTACCACCTTCTGTGGAAATCGTTGATAATACACAGCATATAGCTAACCTA